AAAAATTTTGAGATCCCTTGTCGGTTACGACTTCTGCGATCCTCTGGCACACGGAAAATACTGACCGATATTTTTCATTTTTCATTATGACCGAGGATACGATGAGGAAAGCTTCAAAGTCGTGGACGTAACGCTTCTGCGTGACGTCAACAGGGGCTGCATCATCTTTTTCGTCTTCGTCTGCAAGCAGCCACCGACCTGGTATTGCCTTATACGGAATGATTGAGTGCATGCCCGATTTTTGCCACCTTAGAAATAGCATATGGCTGCAAGGAAGCAGTACGATCTGATCGAAGGCGCAACTGCAAGTGGTTTAAACCAAGCTGACTGCGTATTGCCCGCCCGATTTCGCACTAGTTATGGTAAATACACCTGGCGAGCTTTCATCACTCGACGTGTCGTACACCTCTTTGCCAACATACTCATCTCTTCATCATAGGTCTGGTTGTATCGAAACCCCACGCGCTTAGCTTTGGCAGTGTACTGATCTTCAGCGGACTGCGGTAAGAACAGAAGGTGGTCAATGCACTCGTCCGTGGCCATATGTCGATGCCGTAAGTCCTTGGCAGAGCCCCAACTAGCCTCCAAGCGGTTGTTCGTGTTATTGTCGAGGTGAGAAATGTTTCCACGCTCGAACGTACACCACTGTTTTTTGCCGTTAAGCCAATTCTCAGTAAAATAGTCAAGGAAAGATGGCTTTCCTGCACACAGTTTCTCCAAGGCGGACAGGTAATCATAGAAAAGACTCTCATTTTGTGCATGAATCATCATCGTGACAATATTTTTGATGTACAGCTTCTCAAACGCAGAAAATCCGTAGTCTTTCTTGCTAAATTCTCGCCTGAGATAGTCGATGACGTGGAAATGGCAGAGAATAACTGTCGCGCACGGAAACCCTTCACGTAGCAGTGCCAACTCAGTGAAGATTTTGTCAATGACGATGACTTTCACGTCTGTCCACACTGGGTTATTCTGCTAGAAAGCTTGTACCGCGTGCAACATGCTCAATTGCTTTCGCCATCAACAAGTGCGTGCTGCGCAAATGATCTACACCCGAACTTGTCTGTGACCATAAAGCTGAACAGGTGATACCTACATGAGCGTAAACAGTTCACAAATTCGTGCGCGTGTCAGTGAGAGGCTCACAAACATTGGTGATCCGAACGAAATCTTGAGGAGCACCTTACCGATAAATATTAGGCCCGTAAGTAGTATCACCACAGATCGCTTCGAGGAACTTGCGTACCATCCTTCTCATGTGCGCCGTCTGAAAAGTAATACACGACGTAAGGCCAGCTGCCTTATCGCGGGAAAACATTAACAGCGTTTCCAGGGCGTTCGCTTAAGTCTCGCAGGACCTGTGTCACTCGCTCATTGTCGTGTCCTGACGTGTACGTCTCCCGACGCATTTTTGCGAATAGATTTTCCACATCTTTAGGCAGCACTGGGTAGCCCGACACTTCTTTTAGATATCGCAGGATTTTTTCTTCTTGTATCCGCCTATAATCAGACACAAATCCTGTAAACAATTTTACCTTTAAAGCAGTACTCGTTCGCTTACCTTGCACCAGTGTCTTGACCACACCTCGCGTTCCAGGGGGCGTTATTTTACGAGCCTCAGCGTAGGAGTAGTAGACGTCCCGTCCGACGTTATGGCTGTGCGTCGCAATATGGGATGTAACCCGAACCTTATACTCGTGCTCCTTGACGTGGACAAGCACTGCGTTCAGCTTTGTTGGGCACTCGATGGAGCATATGTTGTGGTTGATTCTTGACCCCTTTCCTCTGAGCTTGAACGGCCACCCGTGCGTACAGATAAGCGTCTTCGTATAGAACTTGTGAGTCTCGTCGAAAAGATGTGATGTTTTCCCTCGTCGACTTGACGAAAGCTGACGCTGTTTGTTGCGGTCAGCTACAGAGTTAGTAGAGCAAATCTTGTATAGCTGATGCGTCTCGTCCTAATACCTGCTGTAGAGAATGCATATTAGCGCAAGAAAACCACAGGTATAGATCCACGAGCACGTACGTTTTAAACTCTTCATGAATCGCGCCCCAAGACGAAACCTCCCCGCTGAGCTGGCAGAAAGAGACTCTGGTGCCTTCGCTACCATCACTGTCGCTGGCATGGGCACGCTTCTTCGCCTTCTGCGTGGACATCGCTCCCCGAGGGAACTGCTTGCTCAGCGGAGAAGGCTGGGGCGGAGGTTATTTTTTTTAGTGGAAGGCAGAAGGGACACAAAATCTCTAAAAACTAAAAAAAAATAGACAGCTGCCCAGCGGTATCTCGGTAACCCTAATTTGGCTTTTCTCGCAGCAAAAACACTGGTGAACGTAGGCACTTCCTTTTTCTAAAAGCAGAAGAAATTGGCAAGCAAAAAAGAAGGTCGCTTTCTATTTGGACAGCGCTCTATTAATAAGTCGGATATCCGATTAAATGTCAGATAATAAAAAAAGAACGCCGTCTTACTAAGGTTCCTTAGTTCGCCTGTTAAAAATCCTACCGGTAGGACGCCCATAAATCCTACGGGTAGGACAGGCTGAAGAGTGGTGGTTTACAATGGTACTTCCTAGAAGTATGTTTTAATCTTATCTATACTAGCTGTCTTGTGATGCTGCTAGGTGCTGGTGGTAACACGTTCTACCTGTCATCGCTCCACATAGCGCATAATAGCTATCCGTATTGCAGTCTGAGCATGTGGTACAATAGAACGACGCCTTCCTCTTGCATATCTTGCAGCGTCGTTGTGCTCGTTGCGGTGTCTTCTTCAGCCGTTGGTATTGAGGGCGGTCTCCTAAGACCAGCAGCGTGTGAGCAGGAACGCTGGTGTCATTCATATCACCATCAGCATTACCATCTCTCCTCACTCGGCCTGTCAGATAGTCATTAAAAATTAACTGGTGCGCCACTCGGGAAGCAAATTCGCCAAACGCAACAGTGGAACAGGCCACGATATTATTGCTCTTCGTCTCGTGCTGATAAGCAAGATAGGCGTCCACTATAACCATTCCGAGAATTATGGCAAATATTCTGTGCGCCCACGAATGGGTGAGCCATTGACGCTCCATCTCTAGTGACCCCTGTCTATAATGGTCGTGCAAGTCAATAGTTGAAAAATACGGGAAGAAAAGCTCCACCATGTACGGCCGAGGTATTCTTTTTTCGTAGCGCTATGTGCGAATTTCGCCACCTTCAACAACACGCCGATGTCGAGCACGCACACTATCAGAACCCGGTAGTGTGATTCCTCTGTTAGATATTATTGTTTTGGGCTCTCGATCATTCCAGCAAAGTGCGTACATTTTGGATCCATTTGAGCAGCTGCTCTCCATTACTGTGTGACTGCCACGAGGCCGAGAAACACTAGACCAACTTTTTAGATAGGCCATAGGATATTCTCTAGTCGCAGTCTTGACCATACCCATGAAATATAGTCCCATCATTGAATTGAGTTGAACAAGTGTCTTCACAGATGCGAAGGCACTATCGGCGACGACGGTGCGACGGCTGCCGGCGTAAGGTTGAGCAAGTCGCAGCACAACAGCAGTACCTTCTCCAAATTCGGCATTGTATGCTTTTTGACGTTGCCGCTGCGCACTTTCCCATTATATCTAGACCTAGCAAAATTCCAGTGTCCCCATCACCAATAGATTTCAGCTCCGCACCAACACCCTCGGGTTTTCGCTGGATCTTGGTAAGATGGGGGATTCCGTCATGTGTATACTTCTCCTCTCTTCCTTACCAGGAGCTCATGCATTCATCCACGCATAGCACCGCTCCAGGAGATATAACCCTTTTTCTTTGCTCGTTAAATGAATTAATTAGAAGTCTAACGGCCTGCCACGGGTCGTCAGCTGGTGCCTGGCTTAGCGCAAACCGAAAAGCGCTTTGAATGTTCTGAAAAGTACGGCACGTCATTCCATAGAGTTGACCAAAATTTGCAGCAGTTCCCACGCTTCTTCCTGGCACGGACGAGTTCCAATATACCGTTAGGGGCCCGCGTCTGGGCTCAAGAGTCATAGCCAACCTGCTGCCAATCCAGCGAAAGAATTCACCTCGACCGATAACTCCTTGGCGTCTCTCCACCAGCAGCGTATTCGTTTCTTGTATCGTAGTCTGCAACGACCCCATAGGGTACATGAGATAGAAGTAAGATACAAACGAACGTTCCCCCAGCAGCAAATGCGATGGTCAGTGAATTGATGCCTTACGCGCAGGGACAAAATCCGCGGGGTCAATTAATACAGCATCACAATGTATCCGTCGTCTCCCGTGGGCATACACACTTCCGTCGTCTTCATTCTCGGCTCTCGACAATCCACTTTCACCACCATCGACAGTAATGATGCTATTAGCAGCATTCTCTCTCTATTCATCTGACGAACTGTCACTAATGCTCATGTCCGAGCTAGAGTCTGCAGCGTCAACACCTGCGTCTCCTTCCTCATCAGGAACTTCTTGGGCGAGGTCAGATGGTGTCCAAGCAGCTACTTCCACTTCGCGACGTATTGAGCGCGCTGAGACGGTCTCTGCAATCCCTGAGTCCCACTGAACCTTGTACGAGCGCATACGAGACTCCTTGTTTACTATAAGGACGACCCCACGCCGCTCAGCGAGCTTCTTAGACTTTCCCTCTACGCGATCTCCTGGGGTAAATGGCGGCTGCATTACGTGTCCGTTTGCTTTGCTTCGAATGGCGGAAACAAAAGCTGCCCTTCGGCTATCAAAAGAACCAATCGCAGGGCTCAAATGAATAGCCAATTAATGACGTACGAGCTGAAAACTCTGACGCACCGGTAGGACAATCGTCCTACCCGTAGGACGATTTGAGAGCTAAGGCTAACTTTCATTCTCCCGAAGAGCCATTTTCTAAAGTAAAGCCTTTCACATTTTATAATAAAAAATCAATGAAAGGATTAGAAATTGTCGAGCCTTCAAGTAGTAATATTTAAAACTTTAGATAACGACAGAGAGGATAATCTGAACGGAACAGTACTCGAGCTCACCGCATGTCCAGCTTGACGTCGAACACGAGGCCGTCACCGAAGCGAGACTTGAGGTGATGCACACTACCCAAGCATCGAAGACGACCACCGACCATGATACCGACACGCGAGCACAGAGCCTCGCACTCTTCCATGCTGTGTGTCGTCAGAACGATGGTCGACTCCTTGCCACGCGTAGAGATATCGGCAATAACGTCCCACATGAAGCGACGAGACACCGGGTCCATACCAGTGGACGGTTCATCCAGGAAAATGATGGCCGGGTTGCCAATCATCGCGATAGCCACGGACAGTTTGCGCTTGTTGCCGCCACTGAGACTTCCAGCCAATTTGTGCTCGAAGTCGCCGAGGTTCAGCTGCTGGATCTTCTCCATCACGACACGGTCCAGCGACGCCTGTGGGATGCCCTTGATAGCGCCAAACAACTCGAGGTGCTCGCGAACACTGAGAAGATCGAACAAGGCGTCGAACTGTGGGCAGTATCCAATCTGACGGCGAACTTCGATCTGCTGCGACAAAATGTCGAAGCCGCCCAGCGTAGCCGTTCCGTGTGACGGCTGAACGTCACCCGTGAGCATCTTCATCGTGGTGGTCTTGCCAGCGCCGTTGATACCAAGGAATCCGAAACACTCGCCGCGCTTCAAGCCAAACGAGAGGTTGCGCACAGCCACCTTGCCACCAGGGTAGATCTTCCGCAGTCCAACGAGCTTGACGGCATCTTCGTCCGCGTCTCCAGCAGCAACACGGTCTGCCTCCTTCTGAACGTCTTCGTCAATTTCGTTGTGCTCATCCTCGTTTCCGTGGTCGTGGTCCTTGGTCTTCGCGAAGGTTTTGGCGTAGTCGAGATACAGCGTCAGACAAGAGAAACCGATCGCTGAGAACGCGAGAAAGAGCAACTCCCAGCCCATAACATCTGTGCTGAACGGACTTGTCGTGCCGTCTTCGCTGTACTGGATGCTGTCGACGTCATTCGTGACCATACTGAGGAGTCCGTTGCCGAGGTTGAACAGCGGCGAGAAGCGATAGAAGAATTTGAGTACCGAGTTGACGTCGGAAGTCGAGTCGAACAGGTCCAAGATGAAGGACGTGATCATCAACACCACGCCAATCATAAAGTTGAGAACGATCGTGAACGTCTGCGCGGACGCATGTTCCTTGAAAAGGAACGACAGGCAGTACATGAATGGACAGATGGCCAGACCAAAGAGCACGAACAGGAGAATCACGGCGGGGAAGGTCTCGGACGAGCAGCTATCGCAGTCCTGGCCAGTTAGCGCCGAGATCTCGAACACATTGATCAGAATCAGCGACGATACACAGGGGAAAAATGTACATGGTCATATCCCAAATGTAGTTGGACAGCCAGAAGGCGGGCAACGATACGCCGGAGACCAATTGCTGGTGCTTCGAGTTGTGCTCGTTTTGCTTCTCCTTGACCAAGAAAACCACGATAGACGCCGGCAAGAAGGTAAACGCGATGCACACGAAAAGAGCCGCAACAAACGAGGTGCTGGAGCTGAATACGGACTCTGCAGCATCGGTGTACGGCAACGGGTAGTTGTTCACCTTGAGGCTCACATTTGAAGCCGAGTCGGTCGAGTTGTTAGCTGCAAAAAAACGATACACTGCCTGGTCCATCAATGCCTTGAAAATCGCCGAAGAGTGAGACCCCGTAGTGTTAGTGAAGACGTTGTAGCCGAGCAAGTTCTGGTTGCTGTCGCCGTACACCAAGTAGCCTCCGTACTGGCCTTCCACAAGACCAGCGCCCTTGCCGTATCCCCGTTCGAATGCTTCCTGTCCCATGGCAACCATGTATCCAGTGTTTCCACTCGCGTTCAGTGCAGGGTCTGTGTACGTGACCCCGAACACAGTGGGCGAGTCAGAGTCGAAAGCTGGCTGTGGGATGGAGAGCGGCTGTACGTCGGCTCCGGAGTAAAAAGAGGATGTCATCACATCACTGCACCATTCGCCAGCCCCAGCTCCTGTCTGGCAAAAGTACGGCGTCGGGGTCTCATTTCCAAAATACTCGTCAGCTGTCAATGCCTTCAAAGGATCATCTTCGATTGCCATACTGCCCTTCAAAATTCCCAGACCCGCGGCGATCAGCAGAACCGGCAGCGCAGCAATGTAGATGATGGCCTTTTTGTCGCGCTTGGCGTAGCGGTAACGCTTCAGTAGTAGGGCACGCAGGTGTCTCTGAAACATGGATTCGGTTGTGATGATCTCGTCACACGACTGGTTAAACCCATCCGAGCCCACAGCGGTCATCCGCGCAGCGTATTTGCCGAGAGTGTGTTGGTTGTTCTCATCGCCCATCTCCGCCACTTTGATGAACACTTCCTCCAACGTGGTTACTGACACTCCATAGGACAGAAGACCCAATCTTTTCAACCGACGATCCATTTCTGCGAACATGGTGGCAAACTCGGACGAGCTGTTCAGAGGAAGTTGAAAGGCAATTTCACTACCGACGTTGCTCAGCAACACAGCAGCCGGCACGTACGATTGCACAAAAGCGGCCACAGCATCGTCGTCGCACTTAGCGTCGTCCTTCACCAGAGTCAGATTGTAGCCGGCACCAAAACGGTTCTTCAGGAACAGCGACGACCCGCAACAACGCATTTCACCTTCAGCCAGCGATAGTATGCGGTCGCCTAGAATATCTGCTTCGTCCATAAAGTGCGTCGTCAGCACCATCACACGGTTGTTGCGGTTGTTGAGCAGAATCTCCCACGTGCTGCGACGACTGTACGGGTCCATACCGGAAGTGGGTTCGTCGAGGAAC